CGTGTGTCTCCCCCCACCACCCCCCACCGTGGAAGCCGACTGGCCAGCGCTGGCAGCAGGGGTTCGAGCCATGCACCCCGGACTTGGACGGCAACAGAACCAGGGGGAAAGTGCTCATGTCCCCCAAAAGTTCAGAAAGTTAGAAAATGTAACATTTCAAATGCATGTAAACCTTGGGTGAATATGATGTGATGCATGAGCAGCTCAAAGCCCCGCTCACGGTCCATGCAGTTTAGGACCCAGACACCCGCCTGCCTGCCCTCCGCCCAAGGGGGGCCGGGCTCCTCTCTCCCTCTGCCCCACTTCACTGTTGATGCACATTTGGGTTATTTCCAATTTTTCTGACACTCCACATGCACTATATTACTGCGCATGTAAAAAAGCTCACTACAGTATTTTAATGAGTGAAATTTCTGGGCTAGCACGGTATGGCACATCTTTAACTTGCTAGGAAATGCTATTTTCGTTGCTAAAGTGAATTGATAGCTTTTTAAAACTGCATTTTGTTAACAGCACAACAAATTCAATGGACTTTTTTCACTGTGGGGAAATATACATGGTGTTTATTATTTTAACTGCTTGTGTACAATTAGCAGCATTAAATACTCACCATGCTACGTACCCATCCCCACGCCCTACCCCCAGAGCCTTCTTACCATTCCCAGCAGCAACCCTGCCCTCGTTAAACTCCCCTGCCACGGCCCCTCCCGCGAACGGGTCACACAGCAGTGTCCCCGGCCGGCTTCTGGCGCTCAGCCCCGGGCTTCGGAGGCTCAGGCTCGTGCGGGTCGCAGCCTGGGTCTTCACTCCCTCAGGGCTGGCGGCGGTGCCCGAGTCTGGCAGCGCCACGTGTCCTGTGTCTGTTCGTCTGGTGAGGGACACTTGAGCTGCATCCACGACGGCCACCGCGAGTGCCCACTACAAACCTTCCCTGATGAGCCCCTGCTTCCTCTTCTGCACCTGGGCCTCCGGGGATCCTGACCCTGATCCTCTCGCGACACCTTGCTCAGCCCTTACATTTCAGTGCGTGCTGACAGTGTTCAGATTCTGCATAGACGGTGGGACCACCTGCTGAGAAACACACTCAGGGTTTTCCACCGTAATCCTATGTGTGTCTTCCTCCTGGTCTGGCTCCGGGCGCAGGGGGAGCTGTGAGGCCGGCCCTCTTGTGCTCTGCGGGCGGAGGGGACACCAGCTACACGGGACCCTAGGCCGCAGTGCTGCTCCGGGTGCTGGGAGATGTTCTGTAGGGGTTTAGACAGTTCTGTTATATTCCTGATTTATGAAGGTCTGTTATCATGAGTGGATGGTGCAATCTGGCACACAGGTAACTATTCAGATGATAATATGCCCCTCCCCCAATCTGTTGATGTGAGAAATCACATCAGTTTTGAGCCAAACTGGCCTTCCTGAAAGAGGCCTCATCTGGCCGCGGTCCGCGCTCCGCTCCTGCCCTGCGGGACGGGGTTTGCCCGCCCCGTGCTCGGAGCCTCTGCAGCCGAGAGCACGGACATCCTGGCTGTCCCAGCTCATAAAATAAGGTGAGTTATTTTCAATCTCTGAGTCCGTAGAGGACCGGAATGGGTTCTTGAACTCACTTGTGCGCCACCTGGACTTGCATTCTTTGGGGAAGACTCTAGACTCCGGACACACTCTGTGTGGCTGGCACGGGGTCTCGGGCCGGCTTCCCTACCTCATCTGTGCTCACGTTCCCTGGCTCTGAGTTTTGTCTCTTCTGATCTCTGACGTACCTGCTGTCACATCCCCTTTGCATTCGTGATGGTTTGGTGGCTCCTGCTCTTTTCCTGGACGCTGCTGCTGGGCGATGTCAGCCTGAACAGTCCTTGTGAACAACCAATGTCCACCGCTTTCCTGCCTGAGACAGCCTCCATTCCCACTGGTTGTGCTCCTCTCTGCTCTTTGTTATTTCCTCTCTGCCACTTTGCGTTTGTTACGCTATTGTTTTTATAACTTTTGAAGCCGGAAGCTCAGCTTCTGATTTCTAGCTCGTCCGCTGACGGGACCAAAGCTCTTAGGGCTACACGTCCCGTGCGGCTTCAGTGGCCCAGAGAAGCTCTGACGAGTCCTATTTTCAGTGTCAGTGAGGTCTGAGTGTTTTATAGCTCTCATCATGTTTTTTTTTTAAAATTTGAGTCAGGTTATTGAGAAGGTTTTTTTTTTTTCCTAGGACAGGAGTTTTATTTGAAGAACAACAGAAACCCCTCAAAGCTGCCTGAGCGACGGGAGGCAGAAAAGGCCACTCACTGATTTCAGTTTGATTTTGTGATTCTTCTCATGACGGTAAACTGTATTCAAAAAAGAATTTCCAAGTCTTACTTTTTTTTTTATAATTTTTAAAAAATTTTTTATTTATTTGCGAGAGAGAGAATGAGAGACAGCATGAGAGGGAGGAGGGTCAGAGGGAAAAGCAGACTCCCCGCCGAGCAGGGAGCCCGATGCGGGACTCGATCCTGGGACTCCAGGATCATGACCTGAG